ACATGCATGCATGCATACATACATACATACATACATACATACATACATACATACATACATACAAATACACACACACAACTAGGTAAAAGGGAGTGGATTTGCTCTCATTTGATATCAACACCGGATGAGCAAAGATTAACACCAAGATTAATACTGGACCAACAATCAAGAAATAACAATGCCACAATCAAGCAACTACCCACTCAGATAAACCAGAGGTGGGTTGCTGCTGGTTTGGCCCAGTTCGGCCGAACTGGTAGTGGCGGCAGTGGGAGGGTCTGCCCACCCACCTGGATGCTTCTGCGCATGTGTAGAAGTTTCTGCTCATTCGCAGAAGCATTGCTCACGCACATGAGCACAAAAAAACAGGTTAGCAACCCACCACCAAAATAAACACTCAGTAAAAATCAACCTAATCAAGTAACCACTAAGACACTGACAGGGTAATCTGATATTAAATGAAAGTAAATCTCACTACCTATTAGCACTGGTGATGTTACCTAGTTTGATAATGAAACATCTGCAAGAAAACAGCTACGCTCAGGGAGCACCAAGAATCCCAGAATTCAACCTTGAGCTATAAATTTTCTTTCATTAATGTGCGTCTATGTGAATTTATTTTAAGATGCATAAAAACGTAGGCCTGCTCTTTAATAGAGATGTCATTTTTTTCAGGTTTATTGGCCTCTGTCCCATCCTGTATAGAGGACTTCAGTAATATAACCACAGACCTTTCTTCAGCCCATGGAAGCTGCAGCAATACAAGTGAGCCACAAATTATGCAACTTTTCAGTGGCATTAGACCACACTTTCACTTTTAATATAGCTTCAGTGAACCTCTTGGAATGATTTGTGTATTCTAATAGTTGCTTAAAAGTGAAAGAGAAATAACATGGTGCCACCTTCAGTGAGAAACTCTGAAGCAAAATGGTAAACAGAAACGTACAATTAATTTCTCCCGTATAATTAGTACATGTACCTTGCATCTAACACAGTAAACACTTGAAAGCCTAAATGACAACTTTTGAGATTCTAGAAGGTGAGGAGAGGTTTAATGGCACCTCTTCTACTTGTCTTTTTACAGTATTAAGGCAGTCCCAGTGTACTTCTCCAAAAAGGAAATGTTATACTGGAGAAGAAAACAGTGAAGAGCTCCACAAAAGGGCAAGGATGATGATACATCAGGGATCAAAGAACTCACAACAAGAACTTTTGCAAGTGAGTAGCTATAGAAGCCTAAGCAGGGGTTTGAACTCGAAGACCTCCAAGGTCCCTTCCAACTCTGTTATTGTGTTGTTCTGTAAATGTTAGATATTTGGGATGTGCAATGACTCAGTCAAATAATTTGGATTTCTATTCCTTTACTGCTTTGAGACAAAAGTGTAAAGATATAAAAGTGGCAGCCCAAAGGATTGAGGAGGAAGGTAAAATTTTGAGCTTCCCTACTTTCTGATATGTTGCTTGGAGAGAAAATAAGTGCATTACTTCATAAACAGAATTTAATGGCTCTGGTTTCTATGTTTGGTCTCAATTAAATTATCCATTCAAATTTTGCATTTTTCTGCAGAAATTCAGGCACATGGAAATTACAAAATGTGACTGGAAGAGGAAAGTTTCACCTAATCCACAGATTGCTACCTTTGCATTAGATTTACTCTCAGGGTTATGACGTAGGGTCTTTGAAAATTTGCAGGATTGTTGTCTTCCCACTATTAAATATTGAGTCTAAATTTATTTATTTTCTTAGTACATTTATGACTTGTGCAATCAGAATTGCTTGTCGGGAAGAAATACTTCTGTTTCATTTTTCTAAAAACTCAATCAGAAGTAACAGTTTTGTGAACAGTCTGAAGCACAAAATCATCAGAGCTTAAATGGTCTTAAATATTGATCTTTCTTGTTTATTTGCAACATTCAGAGTCAACATTTTTCCCCCTGTTGAGAGCTTGCACTGGAATAGTTGTGACTGTTCTATTTTAGACATTACAAAGAATACGGAAAATATAAAGGGAAAGTCTGAGTAACTATTGGTTTTCCTTAAATTTACCTAACATCTGAATGTGAATTAATATCAGTATCAACATAATACTAGAAGTTAAGAGAGTTGGTATTCCATATAAATTTTTTAAAAAAATATGACTTCTACTTGCATTTGAAAGTGTTTGTTCTGTGTTTCCTTAATTTCAGTTATTATTTAAAAAATCGACACATTGTTTTATAGGTTAGTTGATTGAGCTGATATCCATTTTCTTTTAGTCTACTACTAGCCTAATTTGGGATGAGCATTTTTTGTAATGATCAGAAATTTTATTATTTAATTTTCATTATACAGTATCTCATTTTGAAAATGTCAATTATAGCCACTTTGATCATTAAAACAATAAGTTTATTTACTTTTATTTCATATTTCTAAACTGCCTATCTTCCTCAAAGAGGGGCTCTGTTGCCTTTTTAATAATAGCATGGACACTGAGACAAACCTTTCTTTAATTTGTTTAGATCAGTTTCTTTCTTGAACCTTCCTAAGCTTATCCTTTCAGGACCCCTTCCCATTTTTAAAGATTATGGAGGACCATAAAAGAGTTTTTGTACGTAAGGGTTATGTTTCTGAATATTTATAATATTAAAAATTGAACTCAATGTTGCTGCCTCTGCTTCTCATAATTGTTTGATGGGATTTTAATATTGTATTGTAACATAGGCTGGCAAATAATTTTGATTTTATGGACCCTTGAGAGGATCTTGGAAGACCCTTAGAGGGTCCTTGGACCCCACTTTAAGACACATTGGCTCAGGAATTCTGGAAGTTGAAGTTCCCAAGTCATAAAGCCATAATGGTTTAGCTGATTCCTTTTGTTTAAAAATATTTGTTAGGGACCTTGGCAAGTTGGGACTTAAAAGGTGTCTGCAGAAGGCATTTCTGTTTCAAACTTGTTTCTTTGATGCTAGTATATTTATGTTGAGAATTCATTTCTAATTTTCCTTTCTTGAAGCAGAAATATAATTATATACTAGCAGTGTAATCTTTACCTTTTGATTACCAAATAAAGCATTCATTCACTCAGAACATATAAATATTCCCTTCCTCTAAGGATCTCAAAAGGGTTTACATGGAGCTTACTTTGTTTTATCCTTACATGTATAAATTGAGCAGAGAATCAGTGATTTGACAAAGATAGTCTACAAATATTTTTGAAGAATGCATACATTCTTATGAATGTATGTATGGCATCCTTTCTTTCTATTCTCTCATTTTTAAACATTCTTGTTATTTTCTCTCCTTTTTAAAACTTTCTTTGCAGTCACATTTTCTTTTCCTTCTTGTTTTCCTTTTAAAAATGGGAGGGGGGAAGTGGATACTATCCTAGATTATTGTGCTATAAGTTAGAATAAATATTACATTTTTAACCTTGGGAATGCTTTCATTGCTCCTTCTCCCTGAGATTTGGGGATGTTTTCAGTGATTCTACACTTTTAGCAGCCAGAAATCCTTGACATTTTGATCCTTGCAAAATTGCTGTGGTTTTATTGCCCTCTACTGCAAGGATTGAATATTGTCATTGTTATTTATTCATTTCTTGCTTTTCTGGTTTTGCCCACATCATGTTTCTCATTATACATTCTTTATAATTTTTTTCAGAAACTCTCTTCACCATTAAGCTCCTTATTTAGCTCCAGTTTTCTTTCTTATCTCCTACTTTTCATATTTCCAATATATAACTTCTTGGTTGGATTAGACTGTTAATCACTGTTTTGTGACACCCATATTACTATTTCCTCTTTATACATCTCTCCCAAATCTTTAACTTTCCTCTTGTTTTCTTTTCTGTTTTGACTTATATAGGGTGTAAATTTGTGGCTAGGACTGTTTATTTTTCCATATTTTTCAAAATAGAGAGGATGCTCATTATTCATGGTACAGGTCAGGCGTGGGTTCCTGCCAGTTCTAACTTCTTCTATAGAAGAGGTTCCACAAATCTACAGTGCCGCTTAGAACCGGTTCCAGCTCCCTCTCCCCGCCTGTCCGCACATCATCAAGATGAAGAGCGAGAGGAGGAATTCTGGGAGTTGAAGACCACAAGTCTTAAACCTGTCAAGTTTGAACACCCCTGGTTTTTTTTTCTGAAGGGTTAGGGGTGCAAGAGTAACTTGACAGTTTTAAGACTTGCGTGCTTCAAATGCCAGAGTTTCTGAGCCATCATTTTGGTTGCTAAGCAAGAGCGTTATTAACTGAGTTTCACCACATTTTACAAGTTGGTCACACCCATCCAGTCACATGACTGCCAAGCCACCCTCCCACCCAGTCACATGACCATCAAGCCACTCCCACAAAGCAGGCCACACCTGCAGAAGAGGTTCTAGAAAATTTTGAAACCCACCACTGGTACAGGTAGCCCTTGCTTAATAAAGGTAATTGGGACCAGCAACTCCATTGTTAAATGGATGTGGTTGTAAAGCATAATGTCATGGGCAGCAGTATCTGTTGCTATTGATAGGAGAATTTCACACAGTCACAGCATCCTCTGATCATGTGATTGGCATTTGCGACCTCTTGCCAGCTTCCCCATATTGACTTCGCTTGTTGAAAGCCAGCAATGAGAGTCATAAATTGTAATCGTGACCATGGGACATTGTAAGTATTGTAATAGTGAGCCAGTTGCCAAGCACCCAAATCACAATCAGGTGACCGCTTGTAATGGATGAAACTATGACGAATGGTTATAAATCCTCCTATTCAGTTCTGTTTTATGAAGTCATTGCAAACACAGAATTAGTGAATACTGAAACCTCACTTGGGAACTTGTGTATTAGATGACTCGGTTTTTTTTTTACCACTCTGTACATTCACAAATGAAAGCACTGCATGTACCCTATTGATTTTATAGTAATAAATATATTTAGTGAGTAGGAGAATTTGTAAATATATAATCCTTAAATAAAGAGAATTGGCTGCAGATACAATTGTACATAGTTTTCAGCTGGTGAGTTTTTTCCATAAATGAACAAACTCTTTTGGATCACAGTTTTTTTCTGCAGGACAGTGGTAAATATATGTACATAAAGATGTTTTCATTGTATTCTCTGTTTACATTCTCAGCTTGTGAGCAAACTGCTAAATAACTTTGGATTTCTCATTTCTTTTCAGACTGAATTTGGAAACTAATGAGACAAAAATAATGTCACAGAATGGCTAATGGAGTAGGGAAGTATTTTCGTAAGAAGAATCATAAGACCAAACAACAATTCCACTTGTTGAGCATGTGAATGCACAATACACAAGGACTCTAAATCTCTAATGAAAGAGGCAGTGAACAAGTTTTGTCAATAAACACAATCTCAGTGAACAAATACGTGCCTTTCGTGAGATTAGGGAATTGGTTAAGGAAAGTCTGGAGCTAAGACTTGCTCATTTGCAAGTTTATTCAAGGTACTGCAGATGGTATATCCTTTTTTTTTTTTTTTGCTTCATGTAACACATCCTTATTTCTTCTGTTGTCATTGTTTATTAGGAAGAACTTGGATGAACCACGCAAAATAGTTCATGGTGTTCCTAGTAATTCCATTTAAACACTCCATGCAACCACTAAACATGTATATAGATAGTATTATAGATGGAATCACATCTGTAAAAATATCATTAAACCAGCTTTTATTGCTTCTATAAAGGCATAGTACTGGAACAACAGTGACCAATTTGAAGGTACTAAAATAGTAAATTTAATGTTTACTAGAGTGTTTACCTTCCAATCATATTATTCTGAAATAAAAAAAGATATACTGAACACCTATAGTCATGTGAAAAAGAAAGTACATTCTCTTTGAGTTCTATGGTTTTATGTCTCGGGACATAATAAAAATCACCTGGTCCTTAGCAGTTCTTAAAAATAGGTAAATACTATCTCAGATGAACAACAACACATGACATTACACCATGTCATCATTTATTTTACAAAAAGAAAGCCCAAATGAAGAAGACGTGTGAAAAACTAAGTGCACCTTATGATTCAATAGCTTATAGAGCCACCTTTAACAGCAGTACGATCTACCCGTAGAGATCCGGACCCTTTACACTCTCTCGGCCTTCCGAAAAGCCACTAAAACCTGGCTGTTCCGGCAAGCTGGGGCTGTTGAACAAGGTCCAGCCCCACCTAGACGGAATGTATGGTGTGTTGTTTTTAAAATTGTATCTTTTTATTTTTAACTTTTAATTTTTATCTTGTTTCTGTAAGCCACCCAGAGTCCTACGGGATTGGGCGGCATACAAATTTATTAAATTACTAATTAATTACTAATTACTGTATCAGTCTTACACCGTTGTTAGAAGAATTTTGGCCCACTCTTCTTTGAAGCAACTTTGAAGCAACATTGCTTCAGTTCGTTGAGGTTTGTGGGCATTATTTTATGCCCAGCTCTCTTGAGGTCCTGCCACAGCATTTCAATCAGGCTGAAACCTGAACTTTGATTAGGCCATTACAACACCTTGATTCTTTTCTTTTTCAGCCAATCTGTTGTAGATTTGCTGGTGAGCTTGGGATCATTGTTCTGTTGCATGATCCAATGTCAGCCAAGCTTTAGCTATTAGACAGATGGCCTCATATTTGATTCTGGAATACTTTGGTATACAGAGGACTTGATAGTTGACTCAATGACTGCAAAGGGCCCAAGTCTTCTGGCTGCAAAACAAACCCAAATCATCATCCCTCCACTACTCTGCTTAATGGTTGATGCAAGATGTTTGTGCTGATATGCTTACTTTTAAGAACTGCTGAGGACCCGATGATTTTTACTATGTCCTGATTGGTAAAACAATATAATTCAAAGAGGGTGTACAGGTAGTCCTCGACTTATGACCACAATTGACCCCAAATTTCTGTTGCTAGGTGAAACATTTGTTAAGCTAGTTTTGCCCCATTTTACAAATTATTTGTAACAGTTGTTAAGTGAATCTGGTTTCCCCATTGACTTTGTTTCTCAGAAGGTCACAAAAGGTGATTGCCTGACCCTGGGATACTGTGCCTGTCATAAATATGAATCAGTTGCCAACCATCCGAATTTTGATCATGTGACATGGGGATGCTGCAGCAGTCATAACTATGAAAATTAAGTCATTTCTTTCAGTGCCATTGTAATTTTAAACTGTCACTAAGTGAACTGTTGTAAGTCCAGGAGTCTGTACTTTCTTTTTCACATGACTGTAATTTTGCTATGAAAAAACAATAGGTTGCAAAAACATAAAAAATAGTATTAGTCACAGTATTCTTCTTATATATACAATCTTGGCTTTTAATATATTCTAAAGCATGTTTCTACCTCTTGTGGTTGAAAAAACAATTATTTGAAAGCAAAAGCAGGTAGTTTTCTGAGTAAGATTTCTTGAGATCAAAATGTACAGCTTCACTGATTTGTGTAGCTTCTTGTCTTCTTCCGTAACTTGTCGGAATTGAATAAATTGTGAACTACTCTATCATAAGTGAGCTCCTTCAAAGTTCTGTTTGGCTTTGGAAGAGTTTTTTGACCTCTGGAAATTTGCCATGAAATTCCTCTTTCTCTTTAAGAAGTTTGTGGCATGGATGGACCCAGTTTGATTCTGATTTGTATGGAATTACTGTGATGTTGGGAAACTGAAAGGTCTCTTCTGTTCTGATTTTGTCATTATTTCTCATTGCAAATATGTTGCTTATGAAGGCCTATATGCCATACATAATGTTTCTCAACCTTGGCTGCTTTAATATGCATGGACTTCAATGCCCAGAATTCTCCAGCCAGCCCCAACTTCACTTCATTGCACAGAAACATCATAATTCTTTCAAAACTTCTGCATATTTATTTTTAATGTAGTCTTAGGATTGCTGCCTCCTACAACATCACAGTAATGAAGAAAAGAAATATCTGTATCCTTGAAAATATGAAATAGGTTCCTGGATCTGGAACCATGTCTGTGGTATCTTGTTAGCAGAGAGCTTCTAAGGGACATTTTGCAGTAGGAGCAACATTTTTCAACTGCACTTAGGAATATTAATTATTCCTGTCAAACTGTCAAAATTGGGAGTTTTGGACCACTAGACATTGCAGTGAAGAGTTAAAAGATAAATTTGATGTCATCTGAAACCTTGCGTACATAAAACTTGCCTCTTTCTAATATCCAATGCATAATTAAAGAAGGAAATGAATTACAAAATTTTTACTATATTGATTATACTACTGCTTTTGACTGTGTAGAACACAGCACAAGGTTCATACCCCTTAAAAACTGGTATATTGAGGCACCTCATCTCCCTATTGAAGAATCTGTATGATAACCAAGAAGCAGTAACTAAAATATAGAGCAACAAAATGTTTCAAAATTGAGAAAGTGTACCAAGATTGTAAACCTTGTCACCTTAATTCCATTAATTTGATATTTCCACTTTGATTATTGAAGATGAAAGATGAGTGGAAAAGTGGCTGCTGAACATTAAACAAAAACGAAAATCTTAAAAATATGTCAAGTAATGCTGACCCAATGCCAATATTGTAGAGAGGAAATTGAAAGAGTAATCAACATTTTTCCCTATGCTCAAAAATTCAGAGGGATAGTGACTGTTACCATGAAATAAGTAACTGCTACTTGGGAGAATGTCTAACAGGTTGACAGAATTTTTGACATGCAGAGACAACAGTTTTAATACATTTGTGAAAAGTGGACTATCAGAAAGGCTGAATGAAGAAAAATGTACTCTGCTGGAGAAAATATCTCATTTGAATTGCCAGAAATAAAATAATGCTAGATGAAATAAAATCTGCTCATTGGAAACACTAATAATGAGACTAAAACTTAGTATTTTGAATACAGAACGTAAAGGCAAGAATAATTGGAGAAGGCCCTTATGCTTGGAAAAATCAAAGGCAATAATCAATTATCAAAAACATAGTTCGATATCACCATGACACATACATACATACATACATACATACATACATACATACATACATACATACATACATACTGTATAATGATCCAAACAAGAATTTACAAAACCTCAAACAGTTACTATAGACAATCCTGGCAAAATGGAGTCCATCAGGTCACAAACAGAAGTTATTGAACAACAACAACAACAATTTTACAAACCATTTTAACACTATTTATCCAGTATAATCCTTTGATAAATTTGCTTATTTTGTATAAATTTGCAAAATATCTCTTCTGACCTCCTGTTTCTATTATTAATTGCTAAACTATCATTTATGGCTTTCATAGAGGATAATTAATCTGCATTATTTGATGCCCTGTCTCCTGAAAATATATTTCTGTTTCTTACAACTACTTGGAAAGCGATGCATGTTCTATAATATAAATTTAAATTTTCAGTTTCAGCTCAAAATGTTTTGTCGCTTTGTACAGATGTTGTACAGTAACTATATTATACATTTTCTTTTCTCAACAATGAATTCAATGGATGAATCAATGTTGTTTTGTATTTATTGTCAATAAACTATACCAAACTGAGGGACTCCTAGTAACTTCTTAGAAACCCTTAATCCTTCCTATTTATACGGTTCAATTTAAGGCATAAGAGGCTTAAGAAGGATCCATTTTGTCCATTAAGTTTGCCCAATCTCCAATGTTGTTGCTTACTCAAGTGACATCACAATCAGTACCTGTGCCCTGCTGGTCTCCATGAAAACCAAAAAAAATCTTTCTAATCTCTAAATTACTCCAAGGTTATCACAAACATGATGGCTTACATCATTTTCTCTCAACCTTGACAACTTAATTAATATATGTAGGCTTCAACTCCCAGAATAGCCCTGCTATCATGTTGACTGGAGAATTCTGGGGGTTGAAGCCCACACATTTTACAATTGCCAAGATTGAGAAACACAAACTTAAAGAAAACAGGAGGAAGTATCTCGAACTGCATTTGTATTTTAGCTGAAATTTGAACTATGGGAAATGAAAGAAATGGATAACTAAGAACACAATATAACTTATGCAAGAATGCTTTTCACTGCTAGAAGTATCTTGAATAACCTGTTTTAAAAATACTCTAAAATTAAAGATTGTTTTGGCTTGACTAATCACTTTGTTTCTGCCCAAACCTTCATCATATCCATCATCCAACTTTGTTTTCCAGCTTTTGAACAGTACTAAATTCTTCAGATTATAACATGCAATTAAGTTGCTTCGCAGCTGCTATGGTGAGCTAAAGTTTTGAAGAATGTCCAAACTCTTACACTTTCAGAGCAAATTTAAAAAATAGCTCAAAGCTTGGATTATATTTTACATTCTTACTGCATTTACCTTTTTACCACATAACTTATTAATGGTATCCCAGAATTATTATTTAAGCTAGACTTTAAAAAGTAACAACTTTTCTTGACTGTCCTGAAATAATCGCAATGGAACAAATATTTGCATGGAAATTGCCATGAGCAACCAAGGCTTTGGAGTAATTTTCAATGATTTTTGAAATTGCTTGCTGGATTCATAGAAGTCAAAGAATAATGACTTGACACTTCATAAGCTTTAAATTGTTGGTAATTTCATTAAGTAAATCAGCTAGTCAGAAGTCAAAGCATATGTTCCAGGAGGTGGTAACATGTTAAATAAAAGTTGAAATATTAATCTATGAAATGATAGATGGCCCAACATGGCACCCAGGAGCATCAATGTAGCCAGAGACATCCTTTGGTGCCTGATAAATTCACCCATCTGACTTTGAACATTTAAAAATCTTTTTAATTTCAAATGAGAGATATAAACGAGACTGGAAAAAATGGATTGACTATATACAAAATAAATACGGGACCAAGAAATTCCAGTTAGCATATGCTTAAGATCAGAAATGATTTAACTTGTTTAAAGTTAGCTCAGCAAGAAGAAGCTAAGATCAATGTAGAGATGTCATTAATTTCTTTATTTCTTTTTTCTCAATAGATTTTAGACTGTGTTTGTTAAAAATCCATACCATGTACGGGTTCTGGGAAGTCAGGGGGAGGAGGAGGGGGGTTGGGGTGGAGGGTGGAGGGAGGGAGGGGTATACATTAGGCTAGACAAGAATTTGGTGGTAAACTAAAACTATTTTGACACACACAAAAAAATGTACTCCGATGTCTCACTGATTGA